CCCTTTGAGCCGTGTTGGGATTACCTCCCTTTGGGCTTGGAGGTTCGTCTGCTTAAGGAACGACCACTCTTCTTCAACATCCAACTCCTCTCCCCTCCGGGACCTCAGTACCTCCCCAACTATTCTCCTTACCTCATTGAAATCCGCCCTCCCGAAGTCCAGGGCTGCTGCCTTGCTGCAGGCCTTTGCCATCTTGCACTGGATGGTGAATTTCAACAGGCGATGATTACTTGCCCAGGTGGTCCCACCCTCACCAAGTCATTGCCCATGGCCGGAAAGGTGGGGGTGTGGTGCTCTGCGTCAAGGATCAGATCCAACAAGGCATCTCCCCTGGTGGGGCTGTGCACCTCCTGGGTTAGATGGAGGTCCTGTATCTCGGCTAGCAACCTACGTGAGCAGTCAGACCTGGCTGACTGCTCTTCCCAGCAGATGTCTGGAAAGTTCAGGTCACCCACTATGACCACGTCCTTTGACCTAACTGCCTCTGTGAGCTGACTTAAAAATTCCTGGGCTATTTCCTCCCCTTGGTTGGGTGGTCTGTAGTAGACCCCCACCGTTAAGTCCCTTTCCCCTCGACTTCCTTGTATTCTAACCCAGAGCACTTCAGTGTGCCCCTCCTCTAACCCCATGCTACTTGTTGAGGATGTGTATTTCTCCTTGATGTAGAGCGCCACACCCCCACCTTTCCTCCCTGTCCTGTCCCTCCTGTACAGCCTATAGCCCTTGATATTCACCACCTAGTCGTGTGTTGGGTTGCACCACGTTTCGGTGAGCCCCACTATGTCTAGGTTGGTGTCAGCTAGCAGGAGGGTAAGTTCCTCCTGCTTGTTCATTTGAGGCCTCCTGAAGATGTGTGCACTGGCCCCCTAATCTCAGTACTACCCGGGCCCCTGTTGCTTACCTGGGTATTTGTTCTGCTTGTCGTCAGTCTAGGTTGGGTTGTTCTCGTGGGTGACGCTTGGTTTAGTGGTCCAAGGCTTCCTTTGCCCTTGTCTTCCCCTTCCCCCATTGAGCCTAATTTAAAGCCCGCCGGATGAGATCCGCCAACCTAGAAGAGAACACACGCTTACCTTTGCGGGAAAGGTGAAGCCCATCTCACCCGAGCATGTCTCTCGTCCTGATGTGTGGGTCATTGTCTGGGAAGCCGAAGCCCATCTCGAAACACCATTCCCGAAGCCGCAAGTTGACCTCTCTGATGCAGTACACAAGCAGCACATCCAGTACACCTGAATGTGTCATGTCGTCTTCCACATCCGCTCACTCGTAGGACAGAAGAGAATACCACCTGTGCCCCTATCTCCTTCAGCATGCCCCCCAGAGCGTGGTAAATCCGGTATCAGGTGATCAGGGCTTCTCCTGGTCACATGATTAGTGCCCACATGGATTAGGACCATGGGGTAGTAATCAGTGGGCTGGATCATGGCCTGGATCATCCCCATCACATCCTGAATCTTTGCTCCGGGCAGGCAGTAGACCTCGCGTGTCGAGGGGTCCTGGCGACAGATGGGACCTTCTGTACCTCTCAGGATGGAGTCCCTCAGTCTCTCCTCATAGGGCTTGTCCTGTAAGCCCCTAAGCATATGAGTGGCCCTTCTCTGGACCCTCCCAAGTCTATCAACATCCTTCTTGAAGTACAGTGCCCAAAACTGGATGCAGTACTCCAACTGCAGTCTGACCAATGCCGCATAGAGGGGAAGTATCAGCTCCTTGGTTCTATTTGTCATGCATCTGGTGATGCATGATAAATTGTGGTTAGCTTTGCTGATGATTTCATCACACTGACAACTTATGTTCATCTTGGAGTTCACTATGACTCTGAAATCCCTTTCCATTTCTGTGCTGCTGAGAGGGTCACTTCCCAGCCAGTAGGTGTGCTGTATATTTTTGCGCCCTAGGTGCAACACTCTGCACTTGTCCTTGTTGTACTGCAGCCTATTGTGGTGTACTGCCCACTTCCCTAACCTGCCCAAGTCTGCCTGCAATCATTCCTACCCTCTGGAGTGTGCACTTCACCCCTCAATTAAGTATCATCCTCAAACTTATCTCAGCGGGGGTAAGACAGACATTAGTGACAGACAGGGGGTACGACTTATCTCGTACCCCCTGTCTGTCACTAATTGCTTCTTCTTGTTCAGTAGGGATCCTGTGCTGCCCTGTGCCTTTCTTTTACTCCCTACATACCTAAAGGAAGACTTTTTGTTGTCTTTCATTCATGTTGCCAGCCTCAGCTCTGTAGCTGCTTTGGCTTTTCTAACTGACTCCCTGCAAGTGCGGGCCAAGTAGGTGTACTCCTCCTTGGTAGCTTCTCCCTGCTTCCACTGCCTATATGCCTTCTTTTTTGCCCTTAGGCTCCCCTGGGTTTCCCTGTTTAGCCAAGGAAGTTTTTTATTTCCTTTTCCCTTGTACTGGAATAGTTTCCCTCTGTACCCGAAGGATCGCTTCCTTTAGAAATGACCACCCTTCCTGGACACCCATCTGGCCAATACTCTTGTCCTGCAGTGCGTCATTGACTAGACTTCTAAGCACACTGAAGTTAGCCTTCCTGAAGTCGAGCACTACTAGTTATTTTACCCACCCTAGGCCATATGGTGAATTATTCTTAATAATCCATCTACAGTACATTTATTTTATGCCATATACTAACTCTTAACAGTTAACTTTTAATTTAATTGTAATGAAATGGTTATTGTTTGCAACCTAGAATAATTTATTCTTAAGGACACATTGATACAAAAGTACCATAAATATTATATCTTCTACTGCAGACTTCTTCTGTGTGTTTATTTACAATAATAAATCATTAACAGAAAATAACTATCTTCTAACACTGAAATCAATGTTTAATTAAGAAGCCTAATTTTAAAAGCAGGACCAGGTATCTTAAAAATATAGATAATTTCCCTCTGCTCTTACACATTTGTTTTGCATGTGTACATTTTAAAATGTATTTTATAATGATTATAACATGTAACAATAGTGTTGTGGGAAAATCATGGCCCTGACTTATGCCAAATTTTAACTATTGCTCAACTTATTGGTGATGTTTCCAAATGAGAAGAAAAAGGCAAAAAAATCTCCAGATGTAGATACTGATTAATCCACTCTGAACTGTTCAGTGCGTTACTCACTCTGTCAGTTCCAAATTTTTTAACTGCCAGCTTTTCAAAAACAGCAGGAAGAACACACAAACTAACCAAACCATTAGCAACCACCTGCCCCCTTTTGTTTTTGAGCTTACTCCTTCACCTAAATCAAGAACATGCATTTGCCCCTTTATAACATGATCTAGAGCTCTAGCAGGCTGGCCCATTGAAGTCTGAGAGCCAGGAATCTTGTCTTTGACACAGAAACTGTCTGTAGTTTAGCAAACTCAGTGATGGCCAGATTTGCAAAGGTATTTAGATGGCAATCGGGATCCTTAGGCGCCCCAAATATCTTCGAAAATCTGTCCCTTAACCGCTCCCTTGTCTCATTTTCACATTTCATAAAGTGGACCATGTTGTTACAAGGACAAACTAGTAAGTATTTTTTGAGGTGAAAAATATTTTGAAGTGGAAAGCTAAATAGTAGTATAGACCTTGAGCTGGATTCCTTTCTCATTTACTATCCTTTTCAACTTGGGCTAGGGACAGACATTACACATAAACCAGTTTAAGTGATAAGAAACTGGTTTAAACCTGTAACAGAACAGACATTCAGTGCACATAAATCAGCTTGAAAATGGCTTAAACCGGTTTGAGGTAAACCTGGTAGAATGTAGTGTCAGACTTAACTGATTTGAGTCAAACCAGTTTACTCAGTGTCTGTTCCAGACCCCTTGCTGGTTTAAGTTACACTTATAGAACTACTGATTTCTGTAGACTTAATCAAGATTTGTATCAGTTGTGCTAAATCTCTCTGGCCCTAAAGTCCAGATCCTGCAAAAAGGGCCAGTCCATAAGCTGGATCTAGTATAGAGTTGGTCCACAGATATGATCTGGCTCTGGCAGAACCCCACATATCAGATGTAGCCATAAAACAACCACATACTGGCAAAATCTGGGACATGGGATGATGTTATGTCACAGAGCTCTCCATGGGTCCAGAAATCTGGCAGTGGTATGTAGCAGTTAACACTGCTGCCAAATTCCTGGATCCTTGAGGAGCTCCAAGAGCCAAATGACAAAGCTCTGCAGGCCAGATCCAGCTCACAGGATGGAGGCTAAGCACCTGATTTACGTTGCTTTGAGTTGTGAGAAAAATCAGGCATCAAAACATTCCATCTGATACATTCTCCCACCACTTGCATTTAGTCAGAAAAATAAAATACCTTTGTGCTTTGAATTTTACTTTCCTAGAATATGTATTTTGTCTTTGTATCACAAATAAAACATTTGTCATACGAATATGTTGTTAATGAAAGGTATCCGTTTTCTGTATAGATAAAGCCCATGATAGGTATGTTTAGGAATGAAGGCCCAGATTCACAAAGTTATGTATGTGCCTAACCGACATGTTAAAAACAGTGAGATATTAAAATCAGTGGGAGGGGGGCTCCTACCCTTGTGAATTTGACCCTCATAAAAATTAATCCAAAGTGAAAACTATTCTAACAATCCTTGGGTTCGTTCTAAGTACATTTAGAGAATATTTTTGTTACACTTCCCCTACCTTAATTTCCTTTCAAAGTTACTGATGCTTACCTTTAACCTCTAGTATTATGGGTAGCAGAGGTGCTGAGTACATGGGGGCCTGAGGGCCCTGGCCCCCCTGTGGAAGTGGACTATCACCTGAAATGTGTAAAGCTTTCCACACGTCCATCATCTTAGCCCCACTCCCACCTCCCCAGCAAAAATAGAAGTTGGTACCTATGACAGATAGGCTTACTTGGGGAGAATGGCCTTGCAGTGGGCACTAAAACCCTTTAGTGTTACCCATCAGCTCTATACCCTCTTATTGTCTGTGCTTTTAGCATGCCCTATTGCATAGTATACAGTTTTAATAAACACTTCCTTTTTCAGGCCGTCTCAATTGGTGGTCCACAGTGTGTACAAGCTGCAAACGTCTTCTTCCATTGGCTACAACAGGTGATGGGAACTGTCTCTTACATGCTGCTTCATTAGGTAAGAGAGTCTGCTTGTGATACATGTAAGCTTTATTTTTTCCAGCAAAAACACAGAAGTAATGTCTTTTAGATGCAAAGTTTCTTTGTTAACAGGATGCCTCAAGTATAGTATACTCTACTGTTCTTGTTCTTCCACCCATAGCAATGCTTAGTAAAAGATGCTAAAGGATAAATGTAGTTTTCTGTTTGTCCTTTGAAATGGAACTGAAATAACAAGCTAACCCTTGTCTGTAAGGCTAGTGTATGGGCCCCTCTACACATGATGGCAAAAGTGCAATGGGATCCAGTGTTCAATCCACACAGTCATACCTCCTGTCATGCTACACGTGCATGGCAGGAGGCATGTTTGTGGAATCACACATTAGATCCCATCATGCCTTATTGCCAGTGCAGTGGGAACCTAATCCCAGGCTCCACCTGCACCAGCACAGAGCAAGCTCCTGTGGCCCCCTCAGTCCCCGCAGTTGAGGAGCTCTCAGCCGTGGGGGTAGCCCAAACACCCTCAGCTCTGGAGGTTTCACACACCCCAGCACATCCATGGGGCCCTGCTGCACATGCAAATTAAAGTATGATAGCAGCCAGCTATAAAGTTAGTACACATTTCCAAACTCTAACTTTATGACTAGGGACAGAACTTACACATAAACCAGTTTAAGTGATCAGAAGCTGGTTTAAACCTGTAACAGAATAGAAGTTCAGTGCACAAAATGGCTAAAAATAAAACTAGCTGAAACCTGGTTGGAAGTAGTATCAGACTGAACTGATTTAGGTCAAACCAGTTAATGGAACTTGTGTTTCAGACCCCTTCCTGGTTCAAGTTAACTCACAGTCCCCCAGGATCTCAGGATGCTTTGCAGCCCTGGGCTCTGCTGTCTGCTCCAGCAGAGCAGGGTAGGTCCCACCCCTCTTCTCCCTAGCTGGACCGCTATCACTGCTCCGGCTGGCTGAGAAGGGTGTGGTGGTGGGAAACCTGGTTCTAGACCCCAGGGGAGGTCTTCCTGGTGGGAGCAGAGCAGCCCTTTACAGGCTGTTTCCCCACTTGCCACTGGAGTGGGGAGGGGGCAGACCCTGGACCTGACTGGCAGAATGAGGTGGGGGGCAGGAGGCTTTAAGGAGCCCAGCTAGGGTGGGGGAGGCCCCAGTCTGGCAGGCTGAGGCGGAGGAGAAGGATGGAACAGCAGACTCCAGCTGGAGCCCTGTGCAGGCTGGGGGAGGGGTTTAAACCCCTCTCCCTCCCCTCCACTTCAGGGTGCTGAGCCAAGCCAATATCTGGCCACACACCCCCTCTCGAGCAGGGAGCAGGGTAAAATCCTGTTAAGGGCTGCTTCACGCCTGCCAGATAGACCCATCTGGGGTCCTATGCAGGGTGAGGAGGGGGTTTAAACACCCCTCTCCTCCCCTCCACTAGCTAGGGGGTTTAAATCCCCTCCCCCATCATACTCAGTGGGCTTGCCAAGGCCTGGAGCAGGAAGTAGGGAAAAGCCCTGGAGTACTTCTCTCCCAGCTTCCCTCCAGCTTTCTGGCCACTGCAGAAGGGAAGGCGTGCTCTAGCGCTCCCCAGCTTCTGGCCTGAGCCACCATAGACGCATGACTGCATTTCCGGAATCAAAAGTAAATATCTGTTCACTTGCTTCTTGGTTCAGTCTGTGCAGTTTAGACTAATTTGCAAAGATTGAATCAATTCAGCCCTAGGCTTTTTTGACTGTCTGTACTTAGCCTATAGATGATTAGAGCTTTTAATGTCATAATAACTACTTTGCACGTGTAGCTTGTCTCAGGGTAGTTGCACAATTAATCAGTTGATTGCACAATATCTGGAACATGTAGAGGGGGCCGCTGTTACCTATAATTTGTCCGGTCCTACAGCCTTGGTTCAGGCAAAATTCCTGTTGGCTTCAGACTTACTATTTCATCATGAGACTCATCTTCTCCTGATATTTGCTAAACATTCATCTTGCCACCAGTAAAAATTTAAAATCTAAATATGCTTGATGTATTCAGTCCTTTGAAAGGGCAACTACATGGGCAACAGAACTTAGTGTAAGGTAGAACTTTTTTCCTGTGTGTTTGCAGTTGATTCAAGGACACCATAAACTTTCTACAAATGGCATCAAAGAAATACAACCTTGTGGTTCTACTGTTAGAAATTAATATGTTGTTTATTTCCTGACAGTTATTTGGGAGCTGAAATTTCACACCAGTAAAACTTCAAAAGACATCTTCTTTTTAAAAAGTGTTTTTTCTAGTCATGTAGAGGGGATCATTTTATTTTTGAAACAGAAGGCAAATAAACAAGGAAATAGATTTGAATCCTTGCAAGGTTCCTTCATTTGGCTTTCTTTATCTAATTAATTTTACCTATGAGGGACTATTTATTATTTATGACAGTTGGCTGGGGACTTTTGACTTGCACACTTTGGAAGAAAGATATTTAATGTGGATGGCTGGCAATATGATAATTGAAACATGGTTGCCTATGGGCATGTGTCATGGTGAGATGTATGGCTCTTTTGTGTTGGAATTCTTTTGCTTAGGAAGACATTTTTTGTTATCTTAACAGCGGTTTGAAAGCCTGTGGTTGCTTGTATTTTTAGACTCCTAATAATCATGAACACTGGTCTCTTTATTAGGACATGACTGCCGGAAGATGTTTTTTATCATGCTGTATGAAAGTGGAGGCCTGTGGGGTATCTGTCATTGTTTGAGATGCCCATAACTGCCTGTTGTTATCATTAGCATTCTGATCTCTGCATGGTCAATTGTTAACTCTGCAGTTAAAGTAAAGACCTGTGCATTGAGTGTTCAGTTCCTTGGCAAAGCTGAAGTCATGCAAACACATATTATGAGACTACTGAGAACTTTAGTCATGTCTTTATCTGACTAGACTCTGTAAGAATTTCACACTCTTCTTCATTAGCCTTTTTATAGTGACTATTTTCATTAGGGAATCCAGAGAATAATGAACGGGAATTAGTGGTCATCAAGGAGAACTTTAACAAATGATTGATAATATATGCTGCTTTTGTTTTTAGAGGAATGTTAACTTGTGTTTTCTGTAATAGTTTATTCTGTATCAATACTGGATCTGTTTCACTCATGGCTTTTATTTTATTTATTTTTTTGCTGTAGGAATGTGGGGTTTTCATGACAGGGATCTGGTATTACGTAAAGCACTCTACACTATGATGAGAAGTGGAGCTGAAAGGGAAGCACTGAAAAGAAGGTGGAGATGGCAGCAGACCCAACAGAATAAGGAGGTCAGTATGGCCTAAAACAATTTGTATAGTGGATGTAATTTTCACCCATTCCTCTGATGTTTCTTGTAAAAGCTTTTGCTTCTACCAGATTCCATATGCATTTTTTTTTGCATGAAAATAGACATTAAGCATGGAAGTCAGATGTGCAACTGAAGATATTAGTGTAGGCTAGTAAAACAAGGATATGTATTGTTGCACCATCCATGTTCAAGCCTTGTTTGGTACCAGGTAAAAATTCAGGTCTCCAAATATAACTATTATTTACCTATGGAAAAAATATATAAAGACTTTAAAAGTCCAGGCTAAATCCAAAAAAAGAAGCTCTAAGCTAAAGATGAAAACTCCAGTAATCTGTGTGATTATGTTGAGAACCAAGAGCAGATATTGAAACACCAGATTTTCAGCTGTAATCGTCAAGTAGTTTTAAGTTGGATCCTTCATACATTTTGCTGAAATAGGTCATGTCCACACAGAGTTTGGAAAAAATGCATTTCAGAGTTCATTCTGCTCCTGCAGGTAAAGAGGACCCTGTCCGCTTCAGCCCCATTTTGCATTGGGATTAGATTTTTAAGGATTCTGTAGTGCAGAGGTTAGAGGTTATTTGTAGTGAAATGTGCCAAGGAACAAGCTAGGGTCCTGTGATTTCTGAAAATGTACCAGCTCCCCCCTTCTGAAGCTCCCATTGAATGAATGCTTTCAACACAGGATACAACCCTTCCCAGTAGCACACATCTTGGCACTCCAGGCAGCTGTATTAGAAGCAGAATATGACCCCTTTTCAAGCTCTGCTCATATCACCAGTTCCTTCCCCATTTTCCTACAGAACTCAAGTTATGTGACGGTTTGCTTTGCACAAAGCCAGTTGTTACAAATAAACGTTATTGTGATGTGGTTTGTAAGGGTTTAAAATGTACCCTTTTTTAACAAACATTCATAATGTTAAATAAAAAGACTTTTCTTTTCAGCAGAAATTAATTCTGCATGCGACTCCTTTGGACCAATGTCGCTGGGATCTGTTGGCATTGCTTTGCTATCTGGGTAGCAGAACTGGATCTCTTCAGCATCCGTTCTCAGTGCAAACTATTAAAAGACAAAAAACGTAGCAAATTGGATAAGAATTTGAGTAAGAAATAGCACCTTTGAAGACAACAATAGCTAATCTGTCTCAAATCCCTGATGATCTCTTTCTCAGTTAATCCCTCTATTCTCTCAGTGTGAGAATTTGTGCTTTCATCAGTGGTAGATACAGTGGAATGAATAAAATAATTAATTTCCTAAATACTCCAGCATGAATGCTAGCCCTATACAACCAGATGAACATGGCTAAACGATTGCAGCTGATATTAATACTATTCTCTCTCACACACACACACACACACGAATATATTCTCAGATTATGATGGCTAATGAGAGTGGGTGTACCAAAATATGAGCACGAACAAAAATCTAACTTGCATTTGCCGTCTCAAAGCTGTTTGAGTAGTCATTGACTGGGTCATCTTTGTTCTGTTTGAAAACACAAAGGGACTAAAGCCACCTGCCTGCTCTTTATATCTTTGGAAATATTCCCCTTCAATCACCTAAAGAAGGAGGGGGAAGTAATTGCAAGTACTACAATCAAGGAAGGTACATATGTGGTTTGCTAGCAGCTCTCCCAGCCCCATCATAGCTTCAGGGTGAGAGCAAAGTTCTACAATAACCCTGGAAGCTGAGAAACAAAACATCAGAAATTTCACATGTGAGGTGACTGAATTTTGGCAGGAAAAATGTTGCATATGTATTTGTGCAGGAGCAAGTTTAAAGTCTCCTGAAAAAAAATTAAAAAACATCATATCTGTGTGTGTTCTGTTTTAATAACATATTGCTCTTCGTGTTCAAGAAGTAAATTATATTGTCATAATGGTTCAAAGCAATTGCACTTACGTATTCAAATAGCACTTGGTGTGAACTACAGTATTGTTTCACATGTCATGGTGTCTAGTAGGTGATGTTGACTATATTTTGTACTGTTGTATCCTACAATACATGCTCTTCTTTCTCCTAGTCGGGTTTAGTTTACACAGAAGAAGAATGGGAACGGGAATGGAATGAACTTCTTAAGCTGGCTTCAAGTGAACCTCGCACCCATTTTAGCAAAAATGGAGGTACTGGTGGTGGGTAAGTTTGGGTTGTAACAAATTTTTATAGCTCCTTATTCCAGCACGGAGTTATTCCTTATTCAACCAGTATGTGTTTTAGAGTAAGACAAATAATTGAAAAAGTTCATGGGATATTTGTGGCACTTTTAACTCTTTTATTTTGTACAATATAATACCATTATCTACTCATACTGTAATAATGCTCTGCATTTTATTGCAGTCTCCTATTACAAATACCAAGTTGGGCAAGTGGTTCAGAGACAGATTTCTAAGCAACTATGCAGAAGAACCAGAATTCTACAAGTCCCAATTATTTGCTTTTTGGAGGTAATATTGAGGCAATCATGTTGATTCCTGAAAGAGATGGGGGATGTGCCTCACATCCTCAAAATGACCCTCCACCTCATTAAACAGCTAGAAGGATAGCTTTTACTAAGGTGTTGGAGGTGAAGCACAGAAGTAGGGGAAGATAGGTGCCAACAACTACATCAAAACCAAACTGTAGTTTTAGAAGATCATCAGGAAGGACCCACAAATTATATTTTTCACTGTTTCTTATTTCATAGTCTTGATGATAAAAATATACAGCAACAGGTTGTTTATTCAAAATTCTGTGCTGCCAGATTAGGGCCATAGACCATGAATGTTGTAGACTTTGAACTATATGAGAAGTGGATGAAGCAGGTCATGGCTAGTTCTGTAGGTCATAGAAGTATTGTAGGTCATTGACACGGGTGTAGAGAGGTGAAGCTTGTGGCATTAACCTGGAGCAAAGCACATTGTGGCAAAATGAACAGGCTGTGCATTTAAAAATGTGAAAGACAGGCTGTGCCTTCACAGGCAGGCATTTTAAAGCATGAGAAAATGGGCAGTTCATTTAAGGGTAATTTTACTACCATTATGGGAAGGCTAAACTTCTTTTAGATTTGCATCTTTAGAGTTTTCATCTTTTAAAAATCATGACAGCATGACTTTTTCAAAGAGCTATTGGAAGTTTCCCAATCACAGACCCTGGTTCTCATGTGGGACTTCAATCACCCTGACATCTGCTGGGAGGGCAATACAGCAGTGTGAAGGCAATCCAGCAAGTTTTTGGAGACTACTGGAGACAACTTCATGGTGCAAGTGGTGGAGCGGCCAACTAGAGGCCATGTTCTTATTGACCTGCACTCATAAACAGGGAAGAATTGGTGGGGAATGTAGTAGTGGATGGCAACTTGAGCAGCAGTGACCATGAGATGATTAAGTTCAGGATCCTCAGGAAAGGAAAGATGGAGAGCAGCAGAGTAAGGACCTTGGACTTCAGAAAAGCAGACTTCAACTCACTCAGGGAATTCATAGACTCATAGATGTTAATTATTGACCTGCACTCATAAACAGGGAAGAATTGGTGGGGAATGTAGTAGTGGATGGCAACTTGAGCAGCAGTGACCATGAGATGATTAAGTTCAGGATCCTCAGGAAAGGAAAGATGGAGAGCAGCAGAGTAAGGACCTTGGACTTCAGAAAAGCAGACTTCAACTCACTCAGGGAATTCATAGACTCATAGATGTTAAGGTCAGAAGGGACCTCATTAGATCATCGAGTCTGACCCCCTGCATAGGCAGGGAAGAGAGCTGGGGTTAGA